ACCAAAGAAGAATACTAATCAAAATTTTACTAAATTTTTCGATTTAAGTAGTATTTTCCGATTGTACTGAAATTTTCGATTTAAGTATATAGATCAGGGATGATGGCTTTAATGATTTAAAAACTATTGACCAAAACAATATTATCAAATACTCGTTATCGTTATCGAATACGACTTATAAAAAAAAAATCGTTATTTTCCAAAAAAAGAAAAAAAAAAAGCAAAAAAAAAAAAAAATAAACGTTCGAACGTTGCGATTAGTTAATCTCAGGGACGATTTTTTTCTTCTGGGAAAGAAGAAGAAGAAGAAGAAAAAAAAAAGAGAGAAAAAAAAGGGGAAAAAAAAAAAAAAGAAAAAAAGTAAATGAAAAAAAAAAGGTGGAAAAAAAAAGAAGGAAAGAAGAGAAATAACAAAAATATACAAACAGTTGAAGTATAATATTTTGATGTTAACCAGCGAACGTCGAGTTTCGCACGTGTGAAAAGTACGACATACGGATAACACATGTATACACATACTTATGTACATACATATACCAACAAGCGCAACAAACAGATAGATAGATAGATTAGATTAGATAGATTAGATAGATAGATAGATAGATAAATAGATAGATAGATAGATAGCTCGTATATACGTATCCGTATTCTTATGTGCGTTTTATAAAAAAAGGCGCCGCCAACGAGGCTATTCTAGCTTCGTCATCTATACCAGTTACCAATACATATGACTTTATTACAGTATGCAAATAACTCTAAGCTAGTGCTATAATAATGATCACATAAATATGTGTATGTGTGTGTGTTTGTGTGTGTGTGTGTGTGTGTGTGTGTGTCTGTGTGTGTGTGTCTGTGCGTATATATGTACGTGGGAAAAAAAGAGATAAAGAGATAAATTAATTTTTTTTTTCTTTCTTTTTTCTTTCTTTTTTTCTTTCTTCTTTTTTCATTAAATTTTATCTAATTTTTACTTTGTTTTGCATGATTTTCCCTCTCTCTCTCTCTCTCTCTCTTTCTCTTTTAAATATCACTTAAAAATCATTTTAAGGTCGTCTCTCCCGCCTACCCCCCTCGCCTCCCCTCACCATCCTGTATAATCTTTCTGTAAATCATTCCAATTTATCTAATTTATATTTGATATGTACATATCTGTATCTCTGATATGATTACAATCGTATACTGTATTTTTGTTTTTCTTTCTTTTCTTTTTCTTTTTTCTCTTTTCTTTTTTCTTTTTCAATATACAACTATATCGAGTTAAGTATTGATTATTAAAATTATTTAATGATTTCAAAAAAAAAAAAAAAAAAAAAAAAAAAAAAAAAGAAGAAGAAGAAAAGAAAAAGAAAAGAAAGAAAAAAGAACACGCAAAAAAAAAGAAAGAGAAAAAAAAACAGGAAAAAGAAAATGAGCAAATAAAAAAAAATTCAAAATTTTTATACTTTTCATTTTTAAATAATAATTATAACACGTGCTTTTGTATATTTGCGTCTATCGTTTATAAAACAAATCAAATAAATAATAAGAAAGATAGAGAAAGAAATATGAAAGAAGAGAGAGAGAGAGAGAGATAGAGACAGACAGAGAGAAATAGAGAGAGAGAGAGAGAGAGAGAGAGAGAAACAGATAGAGAGAGAGAGAGAGAGAGAGAGAGACAGAGAAACAGATAGAGAGAAAGAGAGAGAGAGAGAGAGAGAGAGAGAGAGAGAGAGACAGAGAAACAGATAGAGAGAAAGAGAGAGAGAGAGAGAGAGAGAGAAAGAGAAGAATCTGATGCTACGACGCAGGAGAATGAAGTTTTCCTTGAACCTTGTATCGTGATAGCCAAGCATGAACAACTATTAAGAGGAAGAGAGACAAAAATATGAAAAGATAAGGATAAAGAAGGACAGACAGATAGACAGATAGATAGACAGACAGACAGACAGACAGATAGTCAGACAGACAGACAGAAAGGAACAAGAGTTTCTCCGTGATAGAGACAGAGACAGTGTTATAATTATCAATTTAAATTCATCGTTCTATTCTTTTTTATCCTTCAAAAATATACTACAATCTCAACGTAGACATTATATAAATGTATGTACACAATTTTGTTTTTTCTTTTTTTTTTTTTCCTTCTTTTTCTTTTTTTTTTTTTTTTCTACTTTTTTTCCTTTAAGCCTTTTTCTATTCTTATTTTATTTGTTTTGCTTTCTTCTTTTTTTTTTTTTCTTCTTCTTGTTCTTCTTTTTCTTCTCTTTTTGTAAAAAAATATAATACAATTAATATTAATACAAATTTTATTGATCAATCGTTATGAAATGTCATTCAATTCGATGGAATTGTAAATATTTATTTAAACGATTCGATTGTTATTTTTTAATTTATTCCTTTATTTATTCATTTATTTATTTATTTATTTATTTATCTATTTATTTATTTATTCATTCATTCATTTTAGTTTTATTTAATATATTCGGATACTCTGTCTTTTTTCGCTTACTTTACTTTGATAATATTTTTTATTTAATATATTCGATCATTGTCATAATACTTATCACAAACTTTACTTTATTTTACTTTACTTTAGTTTACTTTACTTTACTTTACTTTACTTTACTTTACTCTACTTTACAAACGTATCACATATTGTAAAAGTTTCGTTAAATTTAATTAATAATAGAATCGCTTAACTTTATACGAGTAAAATATTAAGTTTTAATTAAAAATTATTAATCAAAATTTTGTTCTTTATAATCATCAACATTATCATCATTACGATTCTTTTTATTATTATTATTATCATTATTATTATTATTATTTATTTTTATTATTATTATTATTATTAAATATATGTTTAGTGTGCGTAAATGTATCAACCATTTCGAGATTCATTCATTTATGAAAGAAAGAAAGAGAGAGAGAGAGAGAGAGAGAGAGAGAGAAGGCATTGAACGAATCGAATGAATGAAGGGTTTGACCCACATAAGTTCTTAGAAGCTCTATTACGCGACCGGAAAAATATTGTCCCTTGTAAGAACTAGGTAGTATAGAAAAAAAAAAGGCAAAATATTTTTTCTTCCATCTTTCTTAGTCAAAGAAAAAAAAAGAAAAAAAGAGGACAAAAAATACCCTCCATCAATAATATCATCGCTCAAAATTATTAATTAAATACTTTCGAAGTAATTAGAATAAAATTTTATTTTATTCAAAATTTCTTTTTTTTTTTTTTACCAATACCATGAGATTATTATTTAATAAATAATAATAATAATAATAATAATAATAATAATAATAATAATAATGATGATGATGATGATAATAATAAAGGAATTTGTTATTAAATTTTTAATCTTCTTAATTTATTCGATCTATAATTAGATATTAACTTTAATATCAATTGTATTAAAATATGGAAAAAATTAATATTTATATTTATAATAATAATTATAAATATTATAGAATATATATATAAATTATATATATTAAAATGATTTATCATCTAGACAGGATATTTCTCTTTACGTTAAGCTCCTTTATTTATGTGTTATTCTCTCTCTCTCTCTCTCTCTCTCTCTCTCTCTCTCTCTCTCTCTCTCTCTCTCTCTCTTCTCTCTCTTCTCTCTCTCTCTCTCTCTCTCTCTCTCTCTCTCTCTCTCTCTCTCTTTCTCCTCTTTCTCTCTCTCTCTCTCTCTCTCTCTCTCTCTCTCTCTCTCTCTCTCTCTCTCTCTCTCACTATATACTATGCTTCCGTGAAAGTGCAATGAGAAAGGAAGGAGAATTGTAATAGGGGGAGAGAGGGAGAGAGAGAGAGAGAGAGAGAGAAAGAGAGGGAAGTTGGTGCTCGTAAAGCGGATGAAACGTTTTATGGGACGTGATTCGAGAAACGAGAAAATTCTAGGAACTCTAGGGATATTTTGTTTTTTTTTTTTATAAACAATTGAAATCAAAATGGTTCAAGTATTATCATTGACTTCCCCTCCTTTTCCTCTCCCCCCCCCCGCCAAAAAAAAGAAAAGGAGAAAAAAATTTATAAAAGTTTTTCGTGACTTTTTCGAAATGCGTACGATATTCGTTGGGAAATGTTTTATCGCTTTTTAGGAGATTTAAAAAAAAAAAAAAAAAAAATAAAAAAAGAAAAAAAAAAGTCAATTAATTCTTTTCGAGATATTCGTATTGAAGTTTCAATATTTTACAATTTACTAAAATATTACAAGCTCGAATAGTGAGAGTTATTATATTACGATTAACAGATTGGTTTGAGAAATAAAAAAAAAAAAAAAAATAAACAAAAAAAGAGAAGAAGAACAAAAAAAATAAAAAAAAGAAATCTTCGAAAAGGGCAAAATCGATCATTAAGAGCACATTTTTTTAATACCTTGATCCGTAAATAATCCTATTATAATTATATTAAATATAATTATAATCGTATTATTTTAACGTATTGCAAAATTACACTGTATAAAGTCAACGACCGAAAGTAGTAAGCTTAGCCAACTGGTAGAATTATAACAGTGTGAGCGTGGGTTTTATAATCCAGTGATTATAAAAGAAGGAAAAAAAAAAGAAAGAAAGAAAGAAAGAAAGAAAGAAAGAAAGAAAGAAAGAAAAAAAAAACAAGAGAAGAATAATTAACAAAATTATTGAACTATTAAATTATTAAGTAATTTAATCAATTTATTTTCTGTTAGCATGATTCATATATATATATATATAAATTTTTGTTAAATTATATTAACGTTGTTTAATAATAAATAATTATTTTTTTTTATACATCTAATACACATATACACACACACACACACACACACATATATATATATATATATAAATCTAACAAGAACAAAAATATAATATACATATTATATTTATCATATAATAAATATAATAAATATAATAAGTTACACATAATGAAGTTATATACGTTGGATTTGAGAGAGATAATATTTAAAAAAAAAAAGAAATAATAATAAAAAAATAAAAAAGAAAATCAATATAATTTTATATTTCTTTTGCAG